AGAGAGAAAGTTTTCCTCCTTTTTACAAACTCTTTATCAGCTCACCCAGGCGATCCTCCAATTTTACTTTCTGATTCTTGGAAGCGAACGCCGGCTTGTGACAGCTCGCAATGGCTGTCTGACAGCTGCTGGTCTGGGAAGCTTCCGTTCGGCTCTCCAGGAGATTGCGATCCCTCCTGTGCTGCCAAACTATCCTTCCATTCTTCACTGTCCCTACAGAACAGCTCTGGTCTGTCTAGGACTAGGCAGACCTCCCCAAACAGCTGAAAAGCAACGATTCCTAGGGAGCCCCCAAGGAATACGTTGTGCCGCCGAGACGTTCACTCCTCCCCCTTCATAACTCCTATAGTTATTTCGATATTTCCTCTGCTTGCAATTTCAGTTAGCTAGCAACTTCTGCTTTTCTTATTTGTCTGTAATTTACTTGTCTGATTTTATTGACTTTCAGGTGGCTTCTTCTATCGACCTTCATTAGAAATTTCTGAATAATACTTTATTCCTTTCACTGGGCATGCTTTTCTGCCTCTTTAAGATCCTTTAGGGAAATATATTTTCCTGCCCTTTTAATACTTCCTTCTCTGGGGGAGGGTGATTTCCCACAGCTGGCTGGGAATTTGGGATGCAAAACAATGGGAGAGCATTGGATTAGGGCAGCTTTTCCATCCCCTAATATTTCTCATTACAGAAATACTAATGCAAACTCATATTTTTGTAGCCTTTTGGCTAGCACTGTTAAAAAAAGCTATTGCCTGGACTTCCGGTTCCGGGTCACGGCGTGTGCAGTCGCTCGGAGAGACTCCTCTCTTTGATGGCTGCTTTCCCTTTGCTGGTAGACCCTTAATCGGGTTGAAAAGTCACCCTGGAGGGGCGACTACCGATGAGGAGGACTCTCGTCAATTGCGGGGGGAGGCGGCAGCTCCTTCCGCGGTCCGAGGCAGCTCCTCGGGGCTGACGGAGAAAAGATCGGCCAGTAACATGGCCGATCATTTAGCTACACCAGCCGAAAGTCAAAAGAACACTTAAGCATTAAGAAACCACCGTGGATGATCCGGGTGAGACCTTTCCCTCTCTCTCTTTGCCCTAACTACTCTCCTGTTAAAAGCCTTCTGGAACTATTTCCTTGCTTTGAAAGAGCTGCCTTTGTCTATCTGGGGAAAAAAGCTTTAACAAAAGAAAAGAAAAAAAAGTTAACTTTTTATTGACTATTTTTATTTTTGGTCGCTTTGGGGCCCTGGAAAAAGCCCTATCATAGAACTTTATTATTATATCTATTTTCTAAGCTGGAGAATATTGTTTTCCTATTTCTTGGATTTATTTTTTTAAAGGGATAAATCTTTATTGTTTGAAAAAAAAACTTTATTGGAAGCCGGAAAAGAGATTTCACAGCTTACTGAGGGCATCTTGTGGCGAAAACTATTACTGCAACTACATTTCCTCTCTGTTTTTTGAGGTTGGGTTTGACCTTCAAATGATGATAAAAGCGAAAAGATAAAGGATTTGAAACAGCTGGGTGGTGAAGTTGCTTACTAGTAATTGTGGAGGTGGATAAGTGCTGACCGTTTGTATGTGTTGACTGTTAGTAAATATAGCCTCCTCTAAAAAAGTAAAAGACTATCTCACCACTGAAATGGAGGAATTTTATCCACAGCTTGATTATGAACTTATATTAGAAGCAATTTTGGAAGCAACAGTATATATGAAATCCTGGAGAAACATTAAAGATGACATCTCTGAACCACAAATTGAATCTCAAATCCTAATGGATCAATCTATAGGCCAAGGAACTAGCCTAGAGAGGCCTGTATGCAGCAACATACACAACTTAAAGAGACAGAGGAACAAGTCACTGAGCAAATGGATGTTAATCTACAACTTATGGAGAATTTTGAAGATCAAAGAACAACTCTGAGACACTTGCAGTGTTAAAAGTAGCAGGAACTGACTCTCAGATATGAATTACTGAGAATAGTGACATCGTGGATAATCAACTTGTGACTATAACACGGAAACAAACCGTCTACACTATACAGATGATATTGGGAGAAGGGAAAGAGAACTTGGCCCAGATTGAAGTATTGATAAGTACCCTCACTCAAATATTGAGACTCGACGATATAGAAGCTCTATTATGGAAACCGGACTGGCACAGAAAGAAAGCCAGAGTTAGATTTAAAAATGTGATTTAAAATTTTACTTGACGGGTAAATAAGGCTTTAGAGATCTTGATTGAATAAAGATTAATCAAATATGTGAACTTAGTGAGATGATGTTTTTTCTGTATTAATATGCTTGTTGTGGATATAATAATTATTTGGATCAGATTTAAACTTTATTGAGTGGGTTAAAAGAGTTTTTCATAGATATAGATTGATTGATAGATTACAGATTTAAAATAGAGTAGAAAATATTTTTTGGAGTAATATTCTTATTTTTAGGAAAGATAGCTATTTTGTAATGGAAGGAGAATAAGAGGGATTTCTGATAAAAGAAGAAATGGTATTAATGAGTTATTAGATTAAAAAATATAATACTTGTAGAAAATATAAGAATGTTATGGTTGAAATATGTGTATTTTAGAGATAAGGATTATGTTAAGGAAAAGGGGAAAGGAGGGACACCTGAAGTGTTAATAATATGTTTATCTAAAAGCCAAATTGGAATACGGTAATTGTAAATAGTAAAGCTTAAAAACAGGATTTGGATTTATACAGATGAAATGTTATTGATGATTGTTCTGATTGATTGAATTTTATTGAAAAATACATTAATTTGAATATATTATATTATTTGAGGGAAATAGAGAGGGAGTTTCTAATGATTTAATCTGAGTTATGTATGTATGATTTTGTTTTGGGATGATTGATTACCCCATCACGACGTTGTTTCTCAAGCACCTTGTTGTAAAAATAAAAATCAATAAAACTTGTTTTTGTTTTTTTTTAAAAAGCTATTGCCTGCATTTTAGGTTTCCTCTTTGGACCAGCATACCTTTTTTGTAAAAACTCCAAGGTTTTTTTTGCCTTGGTTGCCAACTAATCAAACCCCGGGAAAATTGCACAGGATTTCCCGTTGCCGGCACTGAATCACTGCCCAATGCTCAGATCAATCCTTTATCACCACTGACTAGCATACACATTTACATCTATAGACCAAGATAATGTATTGAGAAAGACTATTTTCTTTCCAGACGCCTTTCCAATAAAAAAGCAACAAAAACCTTGCGCTGATTGATCAGCAGACGGCAACGAATCAAGAACCGACGCGTAAGGATTCAAGCGTGGTGATGGGGCATCCATCCAAGCATGCGCAGAGTGCGCGCCCAATAGGCCCAGCCTGTGGCGGCGGGAGGCGCTGAAGAGGGGGCGTAGATCACGGACGGTCACGTCGGCTAGTGAGACCCAAAGTGCGCCTGTGAAGTGCGTGTGGGGCGTTGTTTCGTGAGAAGTGGGAGAAGGCCGTTTTCTGGCTCATTCGTGCGGAATAGAGAAGAGGCTCTACTTGGGAATAAAAAGGTCGGGGTGCGTTGTTGCCGGTAGCGAGTGATCCGAGGGCAGTGATTTTGCGCAAGATCCCATGGGAAGAGGAGGAAGGCCTGCTACAGAAGAGGGCGTGAGGCGAGCTTGAGGTTGAGAGAAGGGGGAGAGGTCTTTGCGCGCGCAAGTTAGAGCAAGTGAGAGGTCCGAGGGGCTGCTGGGATAACAGCGGCAACAGGCACAACAATCGGAAGCACGCGCTGCTGAGTTCCAAACTCCTCGTGCGCATTACCTTTTTGCAACAGATGTCATGGGGATCCAGGTCGCGTGCGAGAAAGGAGTGTTTAGTGAAGAGAAGTTAGCCCATGTGGTGAAACCAGGGCTTGAATGCTGAGGAGGTACAGTGGCTTGTACAAATAAAGATTGTAGGAGGGAATGCCACTTTTTAAAAGCTGTCCAATTGCACTGTAGAGAACAGTCTGATTTGCTGGGGCCTCTTTCATCTCGAATAGTTTATATATGATAAAGTACTTAAAACAATTTTCCACTTGCCATTTGGAAAAATAGAACTTTAAGGTTACTGTCTTCTGTGTGAGTAGCAACAAGGTTCAAACTGGTGATATCCCACAAAATATGTCAACCTACTGTTTTTACCCTGTTGCAGACAGATGTTATGTGTTTATATGTTTGGCTTAAAAAAATCTGTTTTTGTTTCCATGCTAATCACATGGATTAGCCACTGCTGTTCTTTTTTCAAACTTCCTGATTTTTCCCCCCTTACATGACAGGTGTTTCAAGATGACACAGTTCCTGCCCCCAAATTTGTTGGCACTATTTGCACCCCGTGATCCTATACCCTATCTGCCTCCTTTGGAAAAATTGCCCCATGAGAAACATCATAATCAGCCTTATAGTGGTATTGCTCCCTACATCCGTGAGTTTGAGGTAGGTCTAGTAGTATTGGTCTTAACTATCTTTTGCTTGTTACTGGGATATTGGCTAATGCTTGTAGAATCAGAATGGCTGTTGTAGCAATTACTTTCTCAACAATTTTGTCTTAATATTCAGAGTTATTACAAAACAGTTTTCTCTTTCAGGACCCACGTGATGCTCCCCCACCTACTCGTGCAGAGACACGGGAGGAACGGATGGAACGGAAGGTATGTATAGCACAAATTTAAATGTGAAGTATACCAGTATCAGGATTTGCTCTCTTCCAAGGTCCTAAAATAGAAAGAATTAAGTAGAAGGATGTTGAAGAGGTGGCCCTTGTAACATTCAAACAGTTGTTCTTAGTTGAGATATACTGGAAAACAAGATAAGCATTCCTTATGTTTTCTTGGTCCCTTTCATTGCAGAGGCGAGAGAAGATTGAACGCCGACAGCAAGAGGTTGAAAGTGAATTGAAGATGTGTAAGTGAGACACAGTAGAAAGCTGTAAAGCAGGGGTGTCAAACTTGCAACGTCACATGACGTGTCGCAACGTATCGCAACTTTTTTGCCATTGCCAGCAATGGGGTGGGCGCGGTTTCGCTATGATGCATCCGGCCCACGGGCCGGCAGTTTGACACCCCTGCTGTAAAGGAATGGATTCTTTTTATCATGAACTTAAAATTAATAGCCCCATTAATTAAAAATGAGGCCTGGCACTTGTAAAAAAAAAGTAGGGAAGTAGAAGTATATTTTTTCTCATTTCTTCTCTAATCTGATTCATTTTCTTTTAGGGGATCCACATAATGATCCCAATGCTCAAGGAGATGCCTTCAAGACACTTTTTGTGGCCAGAGTTGTAAGTTATTTACTTTTCCTTCTATCAGTGGTTAGATTAAAATGCATGTAAACAATTTGCTAGCCCCATGCAGCTCTTGATTGCGCTCTTGGTGACCTGTTCTCCAGACATCACTACTTCCAGTACCTTGCAGTCTAGTTCAGGGGTCCCCAACCCCCGGTCCGTGGACCAGTACTGGGCTGCGGCATGCCAGCAACTGGTCCGCACAAACAAGCAAAGCCCCCGCCACAGGATGCAGGCAGCACACAAAACCACACCCCGTCCAGTCCACGGGAAAACCTCTCTCCACAGAACCGGTCCCTGGTGCACAAAAGGTTGGGGACCTCTGGTCTAGTTGATCACCTGCTGGGAAATGGGGAAAGGATTGTTGTTTTTTCACTATATAGAAACCAGTGCAGCTGGGATTGCTCAAGGACAGGATAGGTGTAATCTTACTGTGATGACCCAGGGCACAGCACAGAGGCAATGCAGTCAGCTGGCAATTCAAACAGTTCTTTTATTGCTCCAAATTTTTCCCAAATGCTCCCACGTTTGCTGGCAAGCCTCCAACAAAAGAACACCCCCCCCCTTCAGCCAACTCTGGCTGAAAGTAGGTTCAAATACAGTCTGATTAGCATAAGAAAGTACTCAAGGCCATAGAGATAACAAGGAAGAAAACATAACGAGTCTGTTTGAATCCTAGCTTGCCTGAGCAGTTTTCAACAGAATCGGAAATACAGTCTGAGGTCTTTAAACACTCAAGTAACGTGGTCAGTCAATCCAATAGTTCGAGTTTCCAGGTTTCCAAACAGAAGTCACAGAACAAGAGATCAGCAACAATACACAACACTCCAAGAATCAGCATTTGTTCCCGACAAATGCCCCTCCCCACAGCGTCTCCTTAAATCTCAATCTCCAGGTGTTCCGCGTGGAGAAGGGCGGGATGCTCCTGAGTAATTGAGCCTGCCTGCATTGTTCCCTCCTCTCCACTCTCTGTGCTCTAGGATCAGGTGGGGGTGGCCCCTGCTCATCGCCTGAACTCTTGCCTCTCCTGTTCTTCCTGTTCCAATCCTGAAGGACCCTGGTCTGCCTCGGCCTGCTCTTCCCCACATTCCTCTGAAGCCACAGACACCTCTCCCTCGACCTCCATAGAGTCCCGTTCCAGTTCATTTTCCTCTGCAGATTCAGGCTCAGACGGAGGCATGACACTAAAAAGTCCAGTTGCCATAACTCAACTTCCAGACAACTCTACCTGGATGACCGAGAATTTTCATTGACATACTACCCCAATTCCATCCCTAGATTTTCTTTCCAAAAAAGAATTTGGTGGCGGTGATTGGGGAAGCATAATTTCTGAGAAGAGGGGCTTCCTTCATTCCACTTGGTAGAGAATGTACATGCTGAGGTTTGCTCTACATCCAGTTTATTGTTTATAAGAGCTTTTGAGGTGCCAGATGGATCAGCTAGCTTCTTTAATAGTCATAGAGCAGGGCTTTTCAACCTTTTTACTGATTGTACCACTTTTAGGATATGGCAATATTCAAGTACCACCTAGCAAGGTGTCAAAAACTTGATGACCAAAAAAACAAACCTGTTCAAAGTTGCAATTGCACTGAAATGACTTATGACCATTTTTCACACTTATGACCATTGCAGCATGCCCAGGGTCATGTGATTTATATTTGGATGCTTGGCAACTGATTCATATTTATAATGGTCACAGTGTTCCAGGGTCATGTGAT